AGCGGAAATAAGTGGAGTTCATTGGAATCACGAGGCCTAGTCAACTGATTTGCGAATATTCATTATGATTCATCTTCTTCACCCTAAGCGACCTGGGCTGACCAAAGCTAGTATTCAAGCTCGAACTCCTACTCCTTTCGAATTCAATGAGTGTGTGTGCGTGTGTGTATGAGAGAGAGAGAGAGAGAGAGAGAGAGAATTATAGGGAGTTGACTTGAGATGGGTTTCTCCTATTTCGTTTAGGGTGATAAGGGGACTGGTAATTGAATTTTCCCACAATCAAATGAGTAAACTTTTCGTTTCCATTGAATTAGGCATAGCCTTGCTTCCCAAAAGGTAGCATAAAGGTTATGTGAAATTCAATGTAAACGTATGATCTGCTCAAATGATTATGGGCAAATCAGTCTCCTTATCACCTTAAACGAAATAGGATGAACACAGCTCAGCGATCTGCCTTACTGGTAGTCTCGAAAGCCAGTTGACTTGATTTGGTTGCTGGACAAACAAGCAAGAATCTGGAAGAGGAGGTCGGCATGCGAGACGACGTCCGCTGACGGAAGCATTTTGAGAGTGACTGTGACGAAGGGAGGGCCGGAAGCGCAGCTGCTGCCGGACAGTTTCAGTGGGTGAGGAAGATGGCCGCCCGTAGAGGATGGGAGAGAGATCCGGCGGCACCGGGAAAGAGGAGAGAGAAAGAGACAGACGTGAAGCCTCAGTCCTGGGACAGCCAGAACCGTCAACACCGCCGCAACTGGCCAAGTGTCTCGGCTGTGGGAAGTGGAACTAATTTATTGCAGAAACAGCACCTCAAACTTCTTCTGGCTACCATTTGCCGATTTGGACTCATCTTTGCTGTCACCATTTCATTCACGGCAACTGCCGCCCCTCAAGATGACTTGCCACCCCGTCGTACCGAAGCTTGATTAAGGCCACCACGATAAGCAGGCAGGGGAGAAGAAAGAATGGAATAGACTCCAAAGGGTGCGAGAAAGAAATGAAGGAATAACTAAGAGAAAAAGTAAAGAAAGCAAAAAAGTGATGGGTAGAAATGAGTTGAATAAAAAATATTGTAAGAATGACGAAAGAAGGAAAAAATTGTGTAAAAAATAAAATAAAAATGAATCGAAAAAAATAAAAGAAAAAAAGAATTAAAGCAAAAGAAAGGGATAGCAAAATAAGAGGAGAAAGATTAAGATATATTAAAAGGGATCGAGGTAGGAAAGAACAAAAGATAATTTGTGTTAAAAAATAAAAAAATAAAGAAAACACGAAGGCAAAGAATGGACGGAATAAAGAAAAAGAGAAAGAAGAGCAGGAGAAAAGATTAAAAAAATACAGAAAATAGTTTTCAACAAATACATAAACAATAAAAAACATTGCGACGAATTAAGCAATAAGAAGGCAATAAGAAAACAAAGCAAGAAAGAAAGATAGGGAGAGTGAAAAAATAGAGAAAGATACAAATAGATTAAAAGAGATGGACGAAAGATAAACAAATAGGAGAAAATAAAAGAAAAAACGGATAAAGCAATAAAGCAAATAAAGTAGATCACTATAAGGAAAGAAAGGAAGAAACAAATAACTGTAGAAAAAAGAAAATAAACGGAGATACGAATGAAGGGAAAAAGAAACGATAATCAAAGAGTGGAGGGAAGAGAGAATGATAGGAAGTAAACTTGATATCTGAAACGAACAAAAGAACAAAGAAAGAAAAAAGGCTGAGCTTTCGTCCATTATATGATGGACATCATCAGAGCTGGGCATCATTCTTGTAGGAGTCTTACGTTAACACGAGGACAAGAAGACTATCCGGCTCTATCTCACCTCTTTTCTAGACTCAATTAAGCCAAAATAAAATTAAAAACCTAGATGGATAGATATAGAGTAGTTTGGATGATTATCTTTCATACTGGTCCTGATACTTTTGCTTAAGTGTGTGCGTGTGTTTATGTGTGTGTGTGT